AAATGTGAATATCATGATTTTTTGAGCATTTATTCAGCAAAAGAAATAGCTTATTCTCATAGATTTAAATTGAGAAATAGCTTTGTATCAGCATGGAACCATTTTTGAGAAACCACGGTAGAATAATTTGGCATGAGATTAATTGAGAACTTCAAAACGTTGTTCTGTATTTTCCTAAATTTTCTAACATCTAGACAAGGAAACTGCAAAACCGCCCTTTTGGCAAAATGGAACCAATGTTTTGAAGTTTTGTTGTTGTCGCTGGGAATCATCTCATATAACAAGCTGAGACATAATAGTGTTTTCAGAGGATGCGGTTCAATGCAGTAATCATACTTCTTGTGCTTTTCTCTATCTCCCTATGTGACCCAGTTTTCAAAGTCGTCCGTGTCAAGGTAAAGATTGTCCAAGACATAATGAAAGAAATTTTTGCCGAATAAGCTAATGCGTACCTTATGAGACACATTTTAGGCTGGGGACTCGGCTGTCCTTAAAGTAGATCTACCTAAAAGTGGGAAAGTCACTACCTGGAAGCGTATACGGCAGGGAAAAACCGTTATTGAAGAGCATGTGAAATACTGTGAGAATTCAAAGGAACGTCCCTTAGAATGTGACTTATTTGTTGGCAAGGTATTTTCTTGCTTTCCTCTGGAGTGAGAGAGTGAGGCGCAGGCAGTGAGAAAAACGAGTTGGCTTTCGAATATTTTTAAACCGATATCTGTTTTTCAATGCATAAATCCCAGCCACGACACGTCCATCAATGCTGATTCCCTTTTGCTTCTTCTTTTTAGATTTTTACAACTTTCATCAAAAATGAAACAAGGTTTAGGACGGAAAAGTAGTGCCTCCCGAGAGTATTCCTGTGGTATTTTTTCCCGAAGATGGGGAACTTGGAATTGGACCCGTGAAGACTTCTGATTTCGGTGTGTACTGGTCACCACAGCTGAACCCGGTGGTAAGTATTTCCTACAGTGTTTGCTGACATTTGTACAATACAAATAATTAACTTTACCGAACGTTTGCGAATGAACACTTAAATTACTCTATTATGTAGAGCCCCGCGGAAAGGGGATTGAATTGGGATCCGAACGACATTTGGCTGATTGTGGATTGAAGTGGCTATAAATAACAATAAAGATTGGTACGTTTATTGTATTGATTACCTTAAATATTACAAAAAGAATAATTTAATCATTAGTTCTAAAATCAAAGTCAAAGTTTATAGCTTTTATGTTAATAATCACATGTTGTCCATCCATTTCCTTACAATATGAAATCATGAGAATAAATACAGAATCAAAACTACGCTTAGCACTTGTAGGGACGTTTTTGGACATTTCTGAATGCCCTAGCTGTATAGAAATTTGGATGCACATAATCGTTTAATTTTAATTATAAGTTCAATCCCCCGCATTAATTTTTACATGGTAACGGATTTTTTAATATCAACACTCTTCTTCCTCCTAGATTCAATTGTGACAGCTTCTTTGTCCATGTACGAATTCCACTCGAGATCAGTCAACAAATGTCACTTTTTCCCACTTTCACCAAGCATGTATAACGAGTTTTTCCCACAAATTAAATGTACCTACGTCTCACTCGCTGTC